TGAGCTTGCTGATGAGGACGCCGAGGTCGTCCGTCCTCCTTCCCCTCCCCCTGCACCCCCTGCCCCTCCCCTCGTGGCCGACTTGCGCGGGCTGACTCTGGTGTCGGCCTCCGGCGCCGGCCAAGAGCATCGTCGGTGGCCGACGTGACGAGCAGCAAGTCGACGTGAGAGTGAAGCCGACGACGGCAGGGGAGGACCAGGCCGAGGAAGTGCACCAGGTGACAGGGGAGCAGGCCGCGGCAAAGCCGACCACGGAGCGGTAGGCGACTGGAGAGTTAGCAGGGGAGCCAACCCCAGGGGAGAAGTCGGCTGGTACTCCGATCAAGGTGCAGCAGGACGACGAGGGCAGCGAAGCTGGTGATGATGGAGGGGACGCCGAGAAGTCCACCGACAGCGGCGTGGTTGAGGTCCAACCTGGACCTCAGCAGTCAGAGCGAATTCGGAGGCCACCTGACTTCTTCGACCCCATTGCCTTCACCACGGTGTATGATGTGGACGACGATGATGACCTGCTGTACAACGACGCCGAGGAGGATGAGGACTTTCCGAAGCTCGACCCCAACATGCGTGCTGACCCCAAGCACCGTTGGGATTTCTCGACGATGATGGTGAAGGAGGCGTTGGCAAGCAGGAAGGGCGCAGCGGTGAAGGCCGCCATGGAAGAAGAGATCCGCAGCCTCATTGGAATGGGGACATGGGAGCTGGTCGAACGTCCGCCGGGAGTGAACATCATGAAGAACCGGTGGATGCTGACGACAAAGTACCGCATCGATGACACCGTCGAGCACGAGAAGGCAAGGCTAGTCGTGAAGTGCTTCACGCAGGTGTACGGCGCCGACTACGACGAGACGTTCGCTCCGGTAGGCAGCTACGACATGCTGAGGATCTTCCTCTGCATCGTCGCCGTCCTCGACCTCAACCTGATGCAGCTCGACATGAAGAACGCCTTCCTGCAGAGCAAGTTTGACCGGGTGCTGTACATGTCCCAGCCGGACTACTTCAACGACGGAACCGGCCGGGTGTGCAAGCTGCTGAAGAGCCTGTACGGGCTGAAGCAGTCGCCGCTGCTGTGGTACTTGGCGCTTAACGATGTGCAAGTCGGCGCCGGGTGGAAGAAGAGCCAGGTCGACGAGGCTCTGTACTTCAAGGTCAGCGACGACAAGGTGGCCTGCTGGGTGCTGGTCTACGTCAACGACCTGCTCGCCGCTAGTAGCAGCACGGTGATGCTGAAGGAGCTGAAGGAGCTGTTGGAAGCCGCCTTCGAGCCGCGCGAATTCTTGTCAGTGCAGAAGTACCTCGTGCTAGAGATCGTCCACGACAGGTCAGCGAGGAAGCTGTGGCTGCACCAGCATGGCTACGTTGACGAGCTGCGTAGGCGGTTCATCGACGAGGAGCAGACCGGCAGCACCCCGAAGACGCCGGTCTTGGTCGACGGCTACGTCGAGCTGACGTTCGATGACTAGGAGGCACAGGAGCGCCAGGAGGAGGAGTACCAGCAGAAGGTCGGCTCGCTGCAGTTTGCGGCGACGACGACAAGGCCGGTCATCGCCTTCGCGTGCAGCAAGCTGGGGAGCGGCCTCACGGTAAGGAGCGACCAGCACTAGCGCGAGGTCGACCACTGCCTCGCCTACGAACACCCGTGACGCCATCCTGGAGTTCGGCGGTGGGTCAGAATCGCTGGAGCTGGTCGGCTATTTAGACGCCGACGACGCCGGTGACAAGCAGAAGAAGACAAGCATGGGAGGATACGTGTTCGTCTACGGAGGAGCCGCAGTCTCCTGGTCGAGCCAGCGCATCAAGTGTGCGACGTTGTCGTTGACCGAGTCGTAGTACGTGGCAGCCACCAAAGCCGGCAAGGAGGGACATCGCCTTCGCTTTCTCGTCGCAGAGTTCCGGTAGATGCCGGGAAGCCGACCGTCCTCCGGGTGGACAACAAGTCGGCCATCACAGTCACCAAGGGCATGGGGTTGACGGGCAACCTCAAGCACATGGAGCGGCGACAGGCCTGGCTGCAACACATGGTGAAGCCGGAAAGTTCTCACTGAAGTACATCCCGACAGCTGAGCAGCCGGCCGACTTCGTGACGAAGGCGCTGCACTATCCGGCCTTCAACCGGTGCTCCGTCGCAATCGGCCAGGTGCGCTTGGCCGACGTGGGCGATGGCGACGACAACGTGCAGCAGTAGGTGCCATGCCCTCTTGCATGGCTGGTGCGGTGACCAGCGTGCTGTGTGTTGGGTGCATGCCGACGAGCTATTCTCCGAGGAGTACTGTCGTGTGTGGGATGGGGGCCCAAGCGTGAACGCGGTAGGGGAGTGTCAACGGGAGTTGCAGAATGCCATGTCCTCGCTTAAGCGGAGTCGACCTTGTGGTCGGGTGTACTGGGGAGTGCAGCCGACCTGCAGCAGTGGGTGAGCTGGTTGACGAGGAGGTCAACCTGTATGGGGGCCACTGCGACTGGCGCCGACTTCTTGTCACTGACCTTCAGTTGGTCGACTCGGGATGTCGACGGGTGGAAGGTGTTGACTTGGTGACGCCGACTTGGGGGAGTTGACTTGGTGTGTTTGGCTGACTGTTGTGCTGGTCGGCCTAGAGTTTCTCGACATGGAGGGTTGTCGATTTGGAGCTGGTCAACCAAGGGTGAGGTCAACCTGGCGAAGGTCGACCGGAGGTGGTCATCGACTTGGGTGGTCGACAGGCACGTAATGAAGTAGCTGGTCGATGTGGTTGCCCGGTCGACCGGGTTACCTGGGTGACAAGGTTCTGTTGAGGCACGCGATAGTCGCCCAAGTGATATTGGCGAGGCTGACCTCGGAAGTGGTATCCTGAGGTCGACGTGGCTGGTGGGCGCAGTCGCTGGCGTGGAGTCGAGCTTGGCGTCTTCGCTGTGCACGTGATAAGGAGTTGTGCACCAACCAGCTGCACGCACCTGCGAAGCGGGTGCACCGTTGTTCTGCGAGTGCAACGCTGTGCAGCCGACTTGCTGCAACGTTGGCACGCCGTAGACTTGCAACGTTGGCAAGCCGCGACTTGGCTCTCCTGGAGCGCGGTCGACCAAGTCGTGCTGGCACGCGGTCGATCGTGTTGTGCTGGAGGTCGACCAGCAGTCTAGCTAGCGCTGATGTAGTCTTGCATGCCAATGCTGTTGTTATCATTGTTGTGAACTTTTGCTTGTGAAACTCTTGCCAACTTTCCCCGTGAAGCAGAAAGTAGTGCAAGCACAAGTAAACGGCTAAGGAACAAACGTAGAGATCACACGAGCACCCGTGCCTAGCCCGTAAACTAGCTCTCGTTGTAGTATTTATCTCTGCAGGTGATGCTGACAAGTTGGCGTCCTCCCTGGTCAGCGTCCCCTCGTCGACCACTTTGTGACTAAGCCGCCAACTTTGCCAAGTCGTCGGCCACCCAAGGTTGGCGCCCTCCACCCCGGCGCCTTGCTGCTCGACGTCCAGCTGCTCGGAGTCCTGCTCCTCGACGCCCTCTAGCTGGACGTCCCCAGTCTCCCCTATCAAGGTCGTTGTCGGCTCCACCTTGGTCGATCACTCGTCCTGGTCAACCATCATCAGGTCGACGACACCCTTGGTCGACCAACACCAGGTCGACTAGCAATCCCGTCAGCCGACCACCCACGTCGGCTGCCCGAAGTCGGCGTCACCAAGTCGACGCCCTCACTGTGGCCCGTGTGCAGGTCAACCACCTCGTCGACCAGCTCGCCCACTGCTGCAGGTCAGCTATACTCCCCTGTACACCCGACCACAAGGTCGTCTCCGCCCAAGCGAGGACGAGGCCTAACACAACTCCTGTTGACAGCGTGCAGTTGCTGGATGCCGGGGACGTGAGTCTGCTGCACGCGCCAGATGGGTCGCTCCTTGGTGGTGTGGAGTTCAAGGGACGTGTCTTTTGCATGAACTTCCAGCCATGCTCGACGCAGCAGCAGGAGGGTGAAACGGTGGCCCTGCGCACTTCGACGACGGGCGTGCGATCTAAGGTGGACAATTGGCATGCGCGTCTCGCACACGTCGGTGTTGATGCCATAGAGCGTACTGTGGCTCACGGGTCAGTGAAGGGCTTGGAGTTGGAAAAGGGGGGCAAGTCAGGCACGCCATGCGTCTCTTGTGTTGGGGGGAAGATCACCCATCATACCTTTCCTTTTGTGGGTAAGGAGGAGGATGAGCTGCTTGGAGTGGTGCATGCTGACCTGTGTGGCCCTTTTTGTGAAGCAGCTAAAGACGGCAGCTGCTACTTCTTGGTGCTGAAGGATCGCAATTCGCGGTACGTCTCGGCCTAGCCATTGGCCCAAAAGAGTGATGCGCTGGCGGTGTTCCAGAAGTGGCTCCCGATGGTAGAGCGGCAGTGCAAGACCACTATGCAGGCGCTGCGCACTGATCGGGGTGGCGAGTTCCTAGGGCACGACTTCATGCTCTTCCTCGACGGAAAAGGCATCATCCTCGACCTCACGTGCCCGTACACGCCGGAGCAGAATGGGATGGCCGAGAGGGAGATGCGCGGCATTGTGGAGGCGGTGCGGACAATGCTATTGCACATGGATGTGCAGCATCACTGGTGGTACGTGGCTTTGTCGCAGGCCGTCTGGGTGCGCAACCGCGTGGAGCACGCCTCGGTGCCCTCTGGTGTGACGCCGTACGAGCTCGCCTTCCGACGCAAACCCGATGTTAGTATGGTGCGGGTTTGGGCTGCATGCTGCAGTATATGCTGCCGCAGTCGCAACGCGGGGGGGAGCTGGCGCCTAAGGCTCACTGGGGGTTGCACTTGGGAGTGTCAGCAGCGAGCAAGGGCTGGCACGTGCTGGACTTGGAGTCCAACCGCCTCATTACCACTGTGGAAGCAGTTTTCTATGAGACCATGTCTTTGGCGGGATGGAAGGCTTGGCATCAGCAGGAGCACGGGGGGCGTCCGATGCCCTATGAGCCCCTTCCTTCACTCTTCCCAGGCGCTCTTGAGGAGGAGGTGAAGGAGGAGTAAGTGGTCGTGCCTCCTGCTATGCCTAATGTCCCTACCTCGGTCCCCACCCCACCTCCTCCTACAGTGCACCCTCGTGTGGTCCCTCCTACCGCGCCTCATCCATCCTCACCCCCCTTGGCTACCCCTCCTCCTCCTGTTATTCCCTCTCCCCTTCTACCCTCCATCCCTCCTGCGCCTGCCCCACCCTCCTCTTCGTCTTCCACGGCACCGCCCGTTGGTGAATGGGGGATAGTGGTGCCGCCGTCTGTGGTGATCACCGACGGGCAGCGCCTTGTGACTGAGCAACTGCAGGACGAGTGCGGTATGGATGGAGTGCAGCAGAGTGGGGGGCAGGAGATCGGGGAGCAGCAAATAGGGGAGCAGCAGACAGGGGAGCAGCAGATAGGGGAGGAGCAGATTGGGGAGTAGCAGATAGTGGACCAACACCAAAGGGAGCAGCAGATAGGGGAGCCGCAGACAGGGGAGCCGGAGACAGGGGAGCAGGAGATGTGGGGAATTAGAGATGGTGGTCGTGTGTTGGTTTCTGGGACAATCACTCCCCCGCTGCGTCGCTCCACTCACATCACTCGTGGTGTCCTGCCAGTTAAGTATGCTTGGGCAGTGGTGGTTGAGCCGGCGGGTTTGGATGACAAGGAGGAGGACGAGGAGTGGACGGACCTGGACCCAGACGTGGTGGCCGACCTTGAGAAGCAGTGGGATATAGCGAAGATGATAGTGAAGGAGGCCTTGAGAGGCAGTGGGCTGCTGGAAGGGCGACTAGGTGAAGGAGGCGATGGATGAGGAGATGCGGAGCTTGATTGAGCAAGGGACGTGGGAGTTGGTTCCGCGTCTGCCAGGGGTGAATGTGATGAAGAACCGCTGGATTTTGAACACCAAGTTCCGTCCGGATGGGATAGTGGAGCGTGAGAAGGCGAGGCTGGTGGTGAAGGGGTTCACACAGGTGGCAGGGGTGGACTATGAGGAGACGTACGCCCCTGTAGGAAGCTATGTGATGGCGCGTGTACTTCTGGCGATTGCAGCTGCATTCGATTTGGACTAGATCCAGTTGGATGTGAAGAACGCTTTCCTCCATGGTGTGCTGGACTGAGCCCTTTACATGGAGCAGCCAAGCTACTACAAGGATGGGACTCTTCGTGTCTGTAAGTTGGTAAAGAGTCTGTATGGGTTCACGCAGAGCCCGATGCTATGTGGTATGAGGCTTTAGATGGGGTGCTGCTTGAGGCTGGATGGAAGAAGAGCCAGGTGGATGAGGCTCTATACTTCAAGAGTGATGCTGAGGGGGAGATGTGCTGGCTGCTGGTGTATATGGATGATTTGCTTGCTGCCAGCCGCAGTCAGAGCATGCTAGGGGAGCTGCGTGACCTGCTGCAGAGTGCCTTTCAATTGTGGGAGATTAACCCTGTGGAGAAGTATCTGGGGGTGCAGCTGGTTTGGGACAGGCCTACGAGGAGGCTGCGGCTGCACCAGGGGGCCTATGTGGACAAGGTCCATAGGCGCTTCTTTGACGGGGAGCAGTTGCTGCGAATGCCTCGCACCCCTCTTTCTTGTGACCCTTTCATTGTGCAGACCTTCGAGGATGTGGGATGGCAGTCTCGACAATAGGAGGAGTACAGGTAGAAGGTGGGATCCTTGCAATTTGCGGCCTATACCACTCGCCCCGACATTGCCTTCGCCCGCAGCAAGTTGGGGTCGGGTCAGACTGTGCGGAGTGACCAGCACTGGAAGGAGTTGGACCAGTGCTTGGCGTACTTGGTGGAAGGCATAGATGTGGCGCTGGATTTTGGTGGTGGGCCGAAGTCCTTGGAGCTGGTGGGGTACGCCGATGCTGATGATGCGGGAGACAAGCAGAATAGAACCAGCATTGGTGGCTATGTCTTCGTGCTCGGAGGTGCTGCTGTCTCTTGGGCGAGCCAGAGGACTCCTTGCGCCACTGTCTCCTCCACTTAGTCTGAGTACGTTGCTGCTATAGAGGCTGGGAAGGAGGCGCGTAGAATGCGCTTCCTGCTGGTAGATTTTCAGCTGCAGCACATCCTCACGAACGAGCAGCCTGCTGACTACCTTACAAAGGCGTTGCATTTCCCCACCTTCAGCCGTTGCTTCGAGGCTGTGGGGTAGGTGAGGCTCTCAAGCGAGGGGAGTGAGACCTAGGCAATCCATAATGGGGATGGTGCCATGACCTATCCATGGCTGGTGCGGTGCGTGTTTGCACTTTGAAAGTTCTTCGTTCATCACAAAAAACCTTGGTTTTTGAAGGGGGTTCGAAGGGGGGTACAGTTCAGGTGTTTTGGTTGGCGAAGTTCCAAAGCCAAATCGCGACCAATCATGGAATGAAATCGGACCGCGTTTGTTTGTCGAAGTCTAGATCGAATTCGCGACTCCGGTACATTGCCGTTTATTTGAAGCGTGCCAAATTTGTTGTGATTTTGTAATTGGTTTTTTAAGCTTTGACTTCCCTAAAATGTGTCTGCTTGAAAATATGCTGGCCATTTTATTACAAGATAAATGCATCACATTTGATACTTATTAAGGAGATAGGTACTGTCCAGGTGGAATGCCTTCACCACATGGACGTGGCGGAGCAGCGTTTCAATCGGAATCACGGAGTACGCGTACATTCCTGTCGTCCACTTGAGGCGAAGGCATCCTGTTGCTGTATCCTCTCCGCTTGCATTCCAATATCTAACGTAAGCCAGCTCCTCCCTCTCTCCACGTATTTTTGTATGGAACAACAGAAGCAACCTTGCATACCACTCCTCTCTCCGACCATACCTTACACCCTCCACTGCAACATCCGAGTACCATGGCCTCTCAAAATAGTCAGGGGTCGCTCGAACGAAGTGAGAAACTCTTGAGAAGCTGGCGTCGTCTGCTGCAGGGATTGCCAGCGATGCATGGGCCTGCATAACAGTTGATGTTAGTCATGTATGATACGAGCCAGCCAAATGATGGTTGATTGCATAAACTTGCAACTACTTACTCGAATCTTGGTGACGCATCCTGCATAACGCATAAGCGCATCCTTGAGGGCAGCTTGGGCACGAGGGTGTTGCTTGGCCCACTTCCTTGCAAACCAGTTGGTGGAGGTGGGTTCTTGTGGTAACTCCACAGGGAGGAAGTATGACTCCTTGATGAGCGTCCGTGTGTCGGTCTCAATCGCCTGCCAACATATGCTATTGATATTATTACATTCTGCATTCATATCCATGCAATTCAAGCACTAAACAGATTTACCTGCCGCATGGCGGTGTCCCGGCCAGCAGGATCATCCACCGGCACCACATCCGGAATGCGCCTAGCATGGAACTTCATGATCTGCCCATCTACATTGCGCTTGTTGGACCGACGGTAGATCCTCTTTACCAACAGTCCGTGCAAGTGCTCGAACATGTTGGTGCTGAATTCAGTCACATGACCCGCGCGACGTATGGAGTCAACGTAGTGCGACATGAGGTGTTTTCACAAGGCACCAAGAGGATGGCTGCTTTGGAAACGCAGCCTGCAACTGCTCAACGAGCCTGATGGGAGTGGGAGATGACAACACATGCAATCACAGAGTCTACTTATTCATATGGTTTTCCTATTCCTGATCCTTTCCTATCAAAGTTTAGCACCAAACATCCTCACAAGATTGCCTACTACAAGAGCATATTTACAGTAGCCAAGCATTCATCCCATGCACGGGGGTTTACATGCGTGGTATTATTACCGAGAGGTCATCTTCTTCAGCTCCCGGAGGGACCGCTCAGTGTGCCCCTGAGGCTGGGAGCACAGGATGTACCAGCCAAGATAGGCACGAACGGCATCCATCTGGGGCTGGCGAAGCAGGCCTGCAAAAACAAACACCATGACCTGCAAAGAATGTGGATAGCAGCAAAGGGGAGGGTGAGCACAGATGGTGTGAGGAGTTGGGACAAACAATGGCAGCATGAGCAGACTGCTTGAGGGTTTAGGCCAGGACAAGCAACAGGGAATGGAGGGTTCATACCTGCATGACGGCCCTGTGCTCATAGGCCGCCACACATGCTCCGGTCTCGAAGTAGGCGCTCTCCGGCAGGCGCATGTGATTCAGGCGCGTGCGGTCGCGAATGAGAGACAGGCGCCTGCCCATACACATCAGTTCAGCGGTGGCAAAAGGGCAGAAACATGTCAGTAATAGGACAGAACTTATGGTTTGAGTAAATGTGACGAAGAGCAACGAATCCAATCCCCAAAACACTGACCTGTCCATCTGCTTCACACGCCGCTTCTTCATCTTGCGCACGACAGCCACAATGTGGCTCATGATGCCCAGGTCCGCCTGGTGCATGATGTCAGGCATCACCACGAGGTAGGGATTGCCCCACGCAGTCCCTGGGACATCCCACTTCCAGAGCACGCACTGGAAATGGGGATGTGGTGGGGAATGGAGGAGAGATGTACGTGAGAGTGGATAGCTAACCTAAACCACAAGTGGGGTGAGTTCAATGGGGCAGAGCACATCTGGCAATTCATGACGGGGCGGGCGAGAGCATAGACTACTCATGGGCCGGGGAAACAGGTCACTCACCTCAACAGGGTAGGTAGAGTAGGCCTTGCACGGGTCAGCCTGGCTAGTTGTCGTCCCAGCCGCCTCGTTAACGATCCATTGCTGCTGTTCAGGCGTGCGCGGCGTGTTCCGTGCCTTGATAGCACTCAGATGCTCCTGTTGTAGCACGGGGGTGAGGGATGGGATAGAAAAGGTAAGGGTGGTAGCTATGTGGGTTCTATCAGGCGACCCACAAACGAGAATGTATTTGAATGCGTGCAGATGGCATGTGACCTCACCTTTGCAGCATAGCAGATGCTGCACGGCATCCGCGATCCATGCGAGAGTGTGCAACTGATCTTGCCGCTCTCGGGGTAGTCGCACACCCAGGCGTACAGCAGGGGCCGCACGGTTTGCCAATCACCGAAAGGGTCCCTGAGACGGAACCCGCTGCAAGGAACAGGTAGAGGGGCAACAGGAATTCGGGTTACGGCTTTTAGGGAGGAACGACGAGGGGCAAAGGGCCATGCTACATACAGAGAGGGTTTGCATACCATGCAGGTGGTGAGATGATGTCTTAGCAAGATGCAAACCGAGTACGGACCTGGCGATGCCATCAAGAAGCGGCTGCAGCACGGTGATGACGCAACGCTGGAAGAGCATCACCTTCTCCACGGCAGACATTGCAGACGGGGGGATAGGAAGGAGGGCAAGTAGTGTGTGCCCGGCTTTCCCCCATCGCTTGGCCTGGGAGATGTTGGCCAGCGTCATCATGAGCGGCCACGCCTTCTTCCGGCCGTTGATGCTCATGTGCGTCACATCCGAATATAAGATGATCCCCCCCACAACTTCGGACCAACCGAAGTGTTCCTGCAGTGCACGACAAAGCGGCATCGGACACATGGTTTAGGGCTCAAGATGCTCTTGACAGATCAGTGCAGCGATGGAGGCATGAGGAAGGATTGGGTTTGGGGTGGCAACGTGGTCTTTCCTTAC